GCTCAAGAATATAAATTTGATCCTTTTTCAGCTTATCTTAGTAAAGTTGACATTATTCATCAGACTTCTTGTACTTACACCTCTCCACAAAATGGTGTTGCTGAACACAAGAACCGTCATTTGTTGGAAGTTACCTGTACCCTGTTATTCCGGATAAATATTCCCCGATATTATTGGAGCGATGTTGTTCTTACTGCTTGTCATCTTATTAATCATATGTCATCATCTGTGTTAAATGGGCAAAATCCATATTCTGTTCTTTTTCTTGTAAGCCCTTATTTTCCCTGACTCCTAAGATTTTTGGTTGTGTTTGGTATGTTCACAATTTGGATCCTGAGTTTGACAAACTTAACCCTCAAGCTACCAAATGTGTATTTCTTGGTTACTCTCGTACACAGAAAGGGTATCGTTGCTACAGTCCTTCTCTGCACCGATATTGTAACGCCCCAAAACACACCCTGGATGACATTACATTCTAAAACCATTTATATCATGAGAACACTAATATAATCCCTTAAGAAACAAGACTTCATTTGTCATTCACGAATATTTATAACATTATCCAAAAGAATAAGCCCAAGTCATGGCTATTACATCTCAAAAATTAATTAAAGAAGCGCAACGGAAAAAACAAAAAAAACTAGACTACACAATGTTCCAAAAAAATGTCCTAGTCTAGTACAAAAGGAAAGGAGGTCGCTCTATGCGTCCACCTCGGGATCCACACTCCCGTCCAGTGGAGTCTCCCAAGTAGCGGGCTCCTCGACCCTTACGTCCTCCTCCTCAAGCGGGTAATCTGAAAAATGTTAGCGATAGGGGGTGAGCACGAAGCTCTGTAGAAAAATTCTCCCAAACCCATACAAGGTTTAGAAAAGCATTTAAAACGGTCGGTCTCAATTTTAACATAACATAGATACATAATTTGAAATAAAGCAGTGACATTTAAAAAGGATCTCAAGTTTATTTAAAAACATTACTTAAATGAATAAACGAGCACCACATACAAATAATAACCATTAATTGCCATAACCAATTTCCAACAATTCTTTCGGTAGGTGACATACTTTGTGGTAACCTCCCCCCCCCTTTAGGTCACCTTTGATTCTCAAGCATCCTTACCGGGAACCTCTTGAGAATGGATGAGCATCCTTACATGGAACCTCTCACCAATCACTACATTGTTTCCCAAGCATCCTTACCGGGAACCTCTTGGGAAGGGGTGAGCATCCTTACAAGGAACCTCTCACTCATGTGCATCATAAACAACCCAACCAAGCATACAATTCCAACATTTATCTCAATTTACAAGCATCTATCCAAAATTCTCAAAATATATCATATAACAATTCCACAACCAACTAAGAAAATACATGAGATCACAATAACATCATTTTTCTACCCAACATAAAGTACTAAAGTTTCGAAATCCATAATAAAGAAAACATTTAGGAAGGAAATACATCACTCTCCAAAAATTAGGGTTTTAAAACTAGAAAGGAGATTTCATGGGTATTAAACCCTACTTTGTTCAAAACATGTAATCCTTGCAAAAAGCCTAAGAGAGGATGATTCCATAGCATATATATACCAATGATAGCCAAAACATACATATATAAATACCCTAACCTCAATGTAAGTGAATGAGAGAAAACCCCTACCTTGAATCCTTAGCTTTGGAGTGAAGAACAAGAATATTTGATCTTGAATCACCCTTGAATCTCTTGTTTTTCCCTTCCTTTCTTCTTCTCTAATGCCCTATAGGATTTCAAGAGGTGTGGGGGTGCGAGGGGAGTGAAGGAAATGAGAGCAAATGAGATGAAAATGAGTTTAAAACATAGCAGCCCCGAAAAATACTGTTCACAGGCTGTTTTGGATTTCTCCAAATTTACGGTTTTGCCACTAAAAATCTCCAATTTGATCCATATGACTACCCTAAGGTTTTTTGACGTTTCGGATTCATTTTTAATGTTATTTTAACCTAAACACATTTATTTTTATGATTTATCTCAACACCCAAGTTAACGTACACCCGAAACACTAAAGTTTCTATTTTACCTATCCGAATTGGCTATTAATGAAGTTTTGCGATGTTTACAAATAAAAGGTGATAAAGGGTGTTTCTTAAAACCTTTTATACTCATTTGAAGTCTAAAAGTACTCATTATTCTTATATTTTGATTTAGGATGCAAATGGAGACATTAAATGCAAAACGAAGCTAATTGGACTATTTCGACATCATTTCGTTATCTGAGCATAACTCTCTCATCCAAGCTCCGATTGAGATGATTCAAGATGCTATGGAATGATAAGAAAGAGCTCTAAAACTTTCATGTTTTGAGTTTTGAGAGATATTGACTGCATCAAGGTCTAAATCGAGCTTGAAGTTGCAGCAGTGCACTGTTCACGTGCACTGTTCATAGCCTGCCTTCGTCCCTTTTCCATTTTCAATCCATTCCTAAGCCAACCAAATCTATCCCAAACCTCTCCAACACATATTTCTACACCAAACCTATTTAATACAAGTTCTAGGACCTAAAATTTCATATTTTCATTTATTAAAACTAAATTTCAACTATTATTTTCACTAACATTTTAAATCTCTACTTTTTCAATCTATAAAATTCAAACACACATCATTACATATATCCACATTTTTTTTATCACAATTATTTATTATATATCTATATACATATATAAAAGAAAATGCGGGGTGTTACAGATACTTTACTAATGCCGATGTCACGTTTGAAGAATCTGTTTCATACTTTCCAACACCTTCTCAGCCTTTGGATCCTATCCTGTACTACCATCTTCAGATATTCCGCTGTCCACTGTGTTACCATCTACTTTACCTCTCCGTGTCTATTCTTGTCGTCCTCGCCCATCGACTAAGGTGCCCGTATCATCTTCCTTGCCGCCTTCTGATCCTGGTACATCAGGTAATTTAAACTCTTTACCTATTACTCTTCGCAAAGGTACTCGTTCATGTGTTACTAATCATCCCATTTCTCATTTTGTTTCATATGATGCCTTGTCTCCTATCTTCTCCTGTTTTACTTCCCAATTATCTGTTTTATCTATTTCTAAGCATTTATAGGATGCATTATCTGATCCGGGTTAGAGAAAAACTATGGTGGAGGAGATGAATGCTTTACATTATAATGGGACTTAGGATCTTGTTCCTTTACCTTCTGGTAAACGAACTGTTGGCTGTCGTTGAGTGGATACTGTTAAATTTCATCCAGATGGTTCTGTGGAGCGTCTTAAAGCCTGACTTGTTGCAAGGGCTATACTCAGACTTATGGTGTTTGATTATGAGGAGATTTTTTCTCCTGTTGCTAAAATTTTCTCTGTTCGTATCTTAATTTATTTGGCTACTAATCTTGATTAACCCTTGTTTCAGTTAGACGTCAAGAATGTCTTCCTACATGGTGACTTGGTTGAAGAGGTATACATGGAGCAACCACCTGGGTTTACTGCTCGGGGAGAGTATGATGAGAGTGTATGTTGGTTAAAAAAATCTTTGTATGGTTTGAAGCAATCACCGAGGGCATGGTTTGATAAATTTTCAGATGTAGTTTTAGAGTTTGGTCTTCTTCGATGTCAGACAGATCATTTTGTGTTTCTTAGACAGACAGATGCTGGATATGTCCTATTGGTGGTCTATGTAGATGATATTGTACTGAAAATGATTCTGAGGGGATTGTCAAGTTAAAAATATTCTTACAGGATCGATTTCATATTAAGGATTTGGAAAAACTCAGGTATTTCTTGGGTATTGAGGTGGCTCGATCTAAACAAGGTATTTGTTTATCTAAGAGGAAATATGTACTTGAAATGTTTGAGGAAGCAAGTTTACTGGGTGGTAAACTGATTGATGTTCCAATAGATCCGAATCAGAAATTATTGATGGATGATGGTGTATTGTTTGAGAATCTGAGTCGGTATATCACAGATTGATTGGGAAGCTTAATTATCTCACTATTACTCGACCGGATATTTCCTATGCAATTAGTATAGTAAGTCAGTTCATGGGATGTCCTAGAGTACCACATTGAGAGGCAGTTACTCGTATTCTCCGATATCTCAAACGAACTCCTGGACTTGGACTGTTATATTGAGCTAATGGACATCTTAGAGTGGAAGGTTCTCAGATGCTGATTGGGCTGGCTCTCCTTCTGATCAGAGATCAACCANAGTTCATGGGATGTCCTAGAGTACCGCATTGGGAGGCAGTTATTCGTATTCTGCGATATCTCAAACGAGCTCCTGGACTTGGATTGTTATATTGAGCTAATGAACATCTTAGAGTGGAAGGTTTCTCAGATGCTGATTGGGCTAGCTCTCCTTCTGATCGGAGATCAACCACTGGTTATTGTACTTTCTTAGGAGGTAATGTTATCTCATGGACAAGTAAGAAACAACCCGTGGTAACAAGATCCAGTGCTGAGGCTAAGTATAGTACAATGACACATACGACGAGTGAGTTGACTTGACTACTACACTTCCTCCAGAAAATTGGGTTTCCAGTTCAACTTCTTTTACAGTTGTTCTGTGACAATTAGGCAGCTATCCATATCGCTGTCAATCCTATGTTTCAAGAGAGAACTAAGCATATTGAGGTTGATTGTCACTTTATTCGGGACAAGATAGTAGCTGGGGAAGATTACAACTTCATTTGTGAAATCTGAAGGTCAGCTTGCAGATATGTTTATCAAAGCATTGAGTCGTACACGTCTTATAGTTATTTGTTCGAAGCTTGGATTATATGATATATATAGTTCAGCTTGAAAGGAAGTGTTAAGAATAGTAGAGTAGTATGTGTAAATTATTAATAGTAAGAGGGTGTATGTGTAATTCTTATTATTATACGTTAACTAAAAATACAAGTGATGTATGAGAGCTAGGTTAAGTATTTAACCTCTCTCTTTCTCTCTAATATTGTGTTATGTTAATTATCTCAACTTAACAAGCTGAAATAAGAAAGGAGCATAAGTTGCTATCGAGCTGAGAGACCATCTGATAAGTTATCTTTGAAGGGAACTAAAGAGGCAGATCTGATAAGCAGATGATGAGACAGAGCTGAGAAGTCAGATCTGATAAATGGTGGCAGATTTGAAAAGTCATCTGATAGAGCAGCATTAACAAGGTAAGAGGCCTCGAGGAAAGACCTTTGAAGACTCCCAGACCATTTAGAAGGAGGATCAAACCAAAGATGATCCCCTTCCTCTGAATGCAACTTGAGAGAAATCTTCTGCACAACGATGAGAACCAAAAGACCCTTCTGAACCTCGAACTGAAGAAGATGAATATCCAGCTATTCTTCAAAATCCAAAACCAGATAAGATCAATATCCCTCCAAAAGACCAAAATACCAAGAAGAAGCATCCGAAGAGACCAGAAAGCCAAACAACTTGGTGAATGTGACCACGGATCACTATAAAGCACAAAGGAGAACATCCAGCAGCAGCAGACGGTCATTGAAGCCCAAAGCCAAGAAGATCGCTGAGATAATGAATTTGTAGAGACAAAATGCAGAAATAACCATGCATACAAAAGATAGACCACCCTTGAAATGCCAAGGAAGCCTGAAAGTTGAAGAGAAGTCCAATAGACAAGGTTGAAGCAGGAAGTGGATAATTTTCTTCAAAAGATGATCCTTGCTTCTAAATGTGGTGGCTAAAAGTGAAATCGTTCGTGACCACTTGTGATTAGAACTAGTATGTAGCTTTTTCACCTCCCATCCCACAATCAATAAGTTGTCGAAGAAAAACTTGAAGGTAAGGGATGCAGGAAGCAGGAATGTTTGCAAACCTTATTTTCCTTTGCAAACCTTATTTTCCAGTAGACTAGAAAATTCTTATAAGTGTTTCTGCAATTTTAAAAATGTTATTTAAATGAGAAATTTGAAACTCTGAAAAAATTGATTTCTCAAACAAAAATCATGCAAACTATTGGTAGTTTAAGGGCATCATGTGTGCTATATATTGTTTGGCATACATGGGACTGCCGAACCCTGCTTTCATATTTTGAATAAAATAACACCCGTTGAAAAGCAGAAGCAAAATCACTCAAACAGAAGATTTCCCCAACGTTGAGAAAACAAATGCAAAATCACTCAAACAATTTAAACATATTTTCTGAGATAGCAAAAGTAGAAAAAAAATACGATTAAAGCACAAAACCATGGTCTGCCATCAAAACAATCACCAATGTGCTCTGTAAAACCCTAATAATAAATCAATAATAAAATCTACATACAAATATACAGATCTATGTATATTGTGGTGAAAGAAATATAGATAAAAAAAAATACAATTAGGGTCTGTAATGTACAGATCTATGTAGATCTATGCATATATATACAGATTTATAAAGGGGTTACACTTACCTTTTTCGTCTTCGACTGTGAGTCTTTTTTGTGTGAGCCTTGCTTTGTCTTCGTAGATCTGTGAGTGGAAGAGAGAGAGTTGCTGAGAAAGCTCCGTAGAAGAGAGATGTACTAAGAGAGAGAGGAGGAAAGAGAGTCGTTGCTTACCTTCACAGAAAAGAGAGAGTGGCAGAGACAAGAGAGGGGTGCGAAGGGACTGATCTGTGCAAAGAGACAAGAGTGGCTGAGACAAAAGATCACATATTTATACTCTCTCATATGAAGTGCGATTTTGTGGCTAACAAGACTCGAAGGTGAAACCTCATTTAAACAAAAAACGGGTGTTTTTTGTTTCGCGTGTTTCCTGAAACAAAAACTTTTTGTTCCCATTTTTTTGTCTTTGTCTCCAATACAACGAAAATAAAACAAAATCAAAAACATATTTTTGTTTTCATTTTTGACAAAAATTGAAAACAAAAACACAAAACACAGGACAAAAACAGTTACCAAACAAAGGCTAAAAGTACAAGAAAAATAAGACGACAATCTAAGAAGAAGATGGTTACAAGAAGTAGAAGTAGAAGACCATAAGAAGAAAAAGAAGACCACAACAAGTTATTAGAAAAAAAAAAACTACAATGACAAGAAGTAGAAGGCTACAACAAGAAAAGAAAAAGACTACAACAACGACAACAAGAAGATTACAGGAAAACGAAGAAGAAAAAAGAGACTACAACAAGAATAAGAAGAAGAATAAGAGTATAACAAGTACAAGAAAAAGAAGAAGACGACCCCCACAAAAAAAAGAAGAATTTGAAAAAGATTATCAAAAGGAGAACAAGAAGCATGAGAAAAACAAAGGTTACTAGAAATAGAAGAAAACAACTACAACAACATGACAACGACAAGAAAAAGAAGAATACAAGAATAAGAAGAAAAAGAACACAAAAGAAGTAAAAGTGGATGAATAATACAAAGAGAAGAAGACTAGCAGAAAAGAGAGAACACTACAAGAAGAAGAAGAAAATTACAAGAAGAATGGCAGAAGAAGAAAAACAAGAGACTACAAGGAGTAGAAGAAGAAAAACATACAAGAAGAAGACTACAAGTAAAAGAAGAAGACTACTACTAGAAAAAAAAAAAAAAAAACTATAAGAAGAAGAAGAAGACTGCAACAACAAAGAGAAGACAATAAGAAAAAGAAAAATAACACTACAAAAGGAAAAACAACAAAGAATACAGGATGAAGAAGGCTATAAGAAGAAAAAGACTAAAGAAGAAGAAGACGACTAAAACAGAACAAGAACAACAAGAAGAAAACCAAGAAGAAAAAAAAAAAGAAGGCGAAGACTGCAAAAACAAGTAGGAGACTACAACGAAGCCCACACCAACAAAAAGAAACAAGAAGACTACAACACCAATAAGACCACAACAAAAAGGAGATGTTCTAAGAAGAACATGAAGACTACAGATTAAAAAAAAAGAAAAGAAAAGAAAAGAAGGAAGACTCCAAGAAGAAGAATATCATAAGAAGAGGAAGACTCTAAGAACAAGAATACAAAAAGAAGAAAAACACAAGAAAAACAACTAATGTTAGAATATTATAGAGTGATAGTTTAATCATTTATTTTATTCTATACTGCCCTACCATATAAAAATCTTTATTGTATATTTTAGGTTAAGTTGTGCACAGACTAACTCTTGCATAATGATATTTTCTCTCTTTTTGTCTTATCTCTTCTTTCTTTGATCAAATCTAACAACTACAACAAGAAGAAAAAGAAAAGAGATAGAAAGAAAAAAAGAAGACTACTAGATGGAGAAGAAGAAGAAGACTATGAGAAGAATAAGGATAGGAGGAGAAGAATACTACAATAAGAAGAAAAAGATAAAGAAGAAGGCTACACGAAGAAGAACAAGACTATAAAAAGAAGAAAAAAGATAAGAAGACAAGCACTACAAGGTGAAAAACAAGACTCTAAGAAGAAGAAGATAACTCAAGAAACGAAAGATAAAGAGGAAGACTAAAAGTACAAGAACTATAAGACGACGGTCTAAGAAGATGGTTACAAGAAGTAGAAGTAGAAGACTACAAGAAGAAAAAGAAGATTACAACAAGAAGCAATTAGAAATAAAAAAAAAAAAAAGAAAAAGACTACAATGACAAGATGCAAACGGTTGCAACAAAAAAAGAAGAAGACTACAACAAGTATAAGAAAAAGAAGATGACNAGACTACAATGACAAGATGCAGACGGTTGCAACAAAAAAAGAAGAAGACTACAACAAGTATAAGAAAAAGAAGATGACCACTACAAGAAAAAGAAGAATTTGAAAAAGACTACTAGAGGGAGAACAAAAAAAAAAGTACAAGAAGATTAACACAAGAAAAACAAAGGCTACTAGAAGTAGAAAAATACAACTACAACAACAACAGGACAATGACAAGAAAAAGAAAAATACAAGAATAATGAAGATAAAGACTAGAATTATAAGGGTATAAGAAGAAGAAGAACACAAAATAAGAAGTAGAAATGGATGAATAATACAAAGATAAGAAGACTAGCAAAAAAGAAGAAACACTACAAGAAGAATGACATAAGAAGAAAAACAAAAAGACTACAACGAGGAGAAAGAGGAGAAGAAGAAGAAAAACATACAAGAAGAAGAAGACTCCTACAAGAAAAAAAAAATTACTACTAAAAGAAGAAGACTGCAACAATAATGACATGACAACAAGACAAAGAAAAATAAAACTACAAGAAGAATGACATAAGAAGAAAAACAAAAAGACTACAATGAGGAGGAAGAGGGGAAGAAGAAGAAGACTCCTACAAAAAAAAAAATTACTACTAAAAGAAGAAGACTGCAACAACAATGACATGACAATAAGACAAAGAAAAATAAAACTACAAGAAGAATGACATAAGAAGAAAAACAAAAAGACTACAACGAGGAGGAAGAGGGGAAGAAGAAAAAAAACATACAAGAAGAAGAAGACTATAAACAAAAAAAGAAGACTCCTACAAGAAAAAAAACTACTACTAGAAGAAGAAGACTGCAACAACAATGACATGACAATAAGACGAAGAAAAATAAAACTACAAAAGGAAGAAGAAAAAAAATATTAGAAGAAGAACAACAACAAAAAGATTGCAAGAATAAGGAGAAGACCACAAAAGAATACGAAAAGAGGAAGAAGACTACAAGAAAAAAATTATTTATTTTAGGTTAAGTTGTTGCCACAAGTAGATGAATACAAGAAAAAGAAGAAAAAGACTAGAATTATAAGAGTATAACAAGAAAAAGAACATAAAAGAAGAAGAAGTAGAAGAATAATACAAAAAAAAGAAGACTAGCAGAAAAGAAAGAACACTATAAGAAGAAGAAGAAGAAAAACAAGAAGACTATGAGGAGGAAGGGGAGGAGGAGAAGAAAAACATACAAGCAAAAGAAGAATAAGAAGAAGACTACTACAAGGAAAAAAAAGACAACTACAAGAAGAAGACTGCAACAACAACTACAAGACAATAAGACGAAGAAAAATAAGACTACAAAAGGAAGAAGAAAACAATAATAATAAGAAGAAAAGAAGAAGAAAAAGATTACAAGAATAAGGAGAAGACCACAAGAAAAATACAAAAAGAGGAAGAAGACTACAAGAAGACCACAAGAAAAAAAAAATAAAGACTACTAGAAGGAGAAAAAGAATACTACAAGCAAAAGACTATATGAAGAAGAAGAAGAAGAAGAAGAATACAGGATGAAGAAGACTATAAGAAGAAAAAAATTACAAGAAGAAGACTAATACAGAACAAGAACAATAAGAAGAAGACAACCAAGAAAAAAAAGAAAAAGAAGAAGACGACTACAAAAACAAAGAAGTAGGAGACTACAACAATAAGAAAAAGATGAAGCCTACACCAACAACAAGAAACAAGAAGTCTATAACACCAACAAGACCACAACAAAAGAAGAGATGCTCTAAGAAGAACATTAAGACTACAAGATAACAAATAAAAAAAATTAAAAAAAGGAGGAGGAAGACTCCAAGAACAAGAATACAAAAAGAAGAAAAATACAAGAAAAAAAACTAATGTTAAGAGTATTATAGAGGGTAGTTTCATCATTTATTTTATTCTATATTGCCCTACCACATAAAAACCTTTATTGTGTATTTTAGCTTAAGTTGTTGCACAAACTAATTGTGGCATAATGATATTTTCTCTCCTTTTCTCTTATATCTTCTTTCTTTGATCTAATCTAACGACTACAACAAGAAGAAGAAGAAAAAGAAAAAGAATAAGGATAGAAAGAAAAGAAGAAGACTACGAGAAGGAGGATAGGAGAAGAATACTATAATAAGAAGAAAAAGATAGAGAAGAAGACTACACGAAGAAGAAGAAGACTATAGAAAGAAGAAAAAAGATAAGAAGACGAAGACTACAAGATGAAAAACAAGACTCTAAGAAGAAGAAGAAGACGAATTCAAGAAGCAAAAGAAAAAGAGGAAGACTAAGAGTACAAGAAAAATAAGACAACGACCTAAGAAGAATGACGATTATAAGANAAAAGACTACAATGACAAAAACAGAAGGTTACAACAACAAAAGAAGAAGACTACAACAATGATAAATACAAGATTACAAGAAGACAA